CCCCCCAAAAAAAAAAAAAAAAAAAAAAAAAAAACTTCAAATCGGTTATAAGATACGTCTTTTCTACCATTGCGCTTCTTCCTTAGACCTTATTTTGTCTTCCTTCTTGAGATACAATCGCTGATAGTCTTCTTGATAAGTGACATATTGCGCGTTCGATTTACCGGGTTTTTGTATAGTACTACCGACCGGCGAATTATTAGGGGAATATTTCATTTCTTGTAACTCTTGCAACTCCTTTAACGATCTCATTACCATCTGAACATCCTTTTCCTGTTCCGTTGGTTGTACTGCGTTTGTTAAAGTATCATCAGTAATGAAACCGTCTTTCCGTTTATCAGTTAATCCTCGTGGCGAGGAATCATCGTTGATGATCTGACTAAGAAAATTAGTTGCAGCAATTGTTTCCTCGTTTTGCCTCTGTTCCTGTTCCTCCTTCGAGAGGGTCGTTTGTTGTGGCATAGGCACTACGTCTTGGTTAATAGGCCCTATTTGTTGCTCAATCATCTTGTGATCTTTCTTTCTTTTCTTCTGATCGTGCGACGATTTATGCTTGACTTCCACACATCGCTCTCGTTTCTTTTCCTTTTTATCAATCTTGATGACCGAGGCGTCAACATCCTTATCGTCCAATCTCTTTTCGCATTTACCGTCAACATTTTCCTGCAAGAATCTATGTTTCAAGGCTTGTGCTGACGAATAGGAAGTATCTTGTCTATATACGGAATGATGTCCTGTTTGAGAAATTTCACTCGTCTTAGAATGGGTCGTAGGTTCCGGACACGGTGTAATGGAAACTCTATCCTTTATCGCTTCAGTCACCTTTGTCGATAATTTGTCGTAATCAACACGTGTTATGGACAGAGAGCTGTTTGTTAAATCCATAAAATTAAATTTCTCCACGTGACTCTTAGATGGCTTTTGAGCCATTAGTTGTGCTGTAGGTACTACAGAAATTTTACCAACTGTAAAATTGTTGACCGCATTGCTTTCCTGCTGATGGCCCGCATTGTTCTCTGTATGCTTATCCTTATATTTATTACTGTGTTGCTTCCTATCGGTATTAACGTCATTAGACTTCGCTGCAGCTTGACTTGCAAAATTCGTCGAATTTTCGCCAATGATCTGAACTTTGGATACATTCGTGTTTGTCCTCTCGTTTTCTTGAGACAAAAGATTATTCACGTTTGTTGCATCATTCTTTGAAACATTGCAAACTTGAGTATTCGCAGAAGTGGTAACATTGTTTGCATTGACCATGTCTTTTGATTTCTTCAACTTCTTCTTAATGCTAAAATCATAAAAATCCATTAATAGAGAGTAGCACATGAATACTAACATAAAAGGAATGTGTAAATAAAAGGTAGGAACAAGGCAAGCTGTATACAGTAAGAAACAAAAATATATAGTAATTTTCGGTGTGCATTTAATAACAATAACAAAAAGTGTATGCTAACTAAAATAATTGAAGCAATTTTTGCATGTACAAAAAACTAAAAAAAAAAAGCATTCGAGAAAGACAAATTAACATTAACATTAAACATTTGCGTACAAGTTAATATCACAATTTCATATAATCTTGTTAATATTTATAAATGCATTAAATTGAATATCACTCTCGTAGAATATGACTTTTTTTTCTAGGAATCCGTTAATGTTTCGAGCGAAGAAGTAGAAATCAGTATTAATCCATTACACCTTCCTAAAACATACAATAATCAAACCATGAAGCGATCAATTAATCTTCCTGACGTATTCATGTGACGACAATGTGCCAGATTTCTTGATCGCGATTTGCAAAGAAACTAGTTAAATCAATCTTCAAGGATCTTGATCCTAACTTTCAGACACGCACTCCTTTCACTTTGATGAAAATAGGAAAAAATCATAGTAAGGGACTTTCATGCACGAAGCAAAGCACAAATAGCGATAGTTTTCTTGTAACGCTTATAAACAGTGTATCAACAATTGAATGTAATATATATTAACAACATAATATATTACTTACGCGGGTTCAGCTGGACTAGCATATTTTAGCAAGGTTTGCAATCGTACGTATCCAGGCGGCCACAGTGGTAATACATTCGTATCCATGAAAGAAGCAACGAAAGATTCCATACTCTCCTTTCTTGATCTGAGAATTTTGAAATAATGTCTCCTGGCGTTTGCAATTTCAAGAACAAATTTCCTAAAATTAAAATTTACAGATATATGCATGAATACACATTCAGACTAGACACAAATTATATCTTTATGATCAAACATACTTTGCTTCATCAGTCCATGGAAATCGTTTTCGTGGTATTTTTGGTTTTTCCATGTTTTTAGACGAACCATCTTCTTCATCACTGCTCTCTGCATCTGCAGGAGTTCCCTCAAAACCCCTGAAATCGATCAGTTAATTACATCCCAGTCAAGATAACATTATGAGATTCATGATTTCGCGATGACAAAATGATGATCAGCATTTGTTGTGACAGAATTCCGCGATTATATCTTAATCTCTTGTTTATCAATAATATAGTACAACATAATCAAATCGTCTAGTCATTGAATTGTGTCCCAGATCAAATGCAGTTTTCTTGTTTGACACAAAAGATGATTCTAGTGATGAACTAAACACTGATACTGATGATAAAAAGCCCCGCATCTTCCTCTGCTTTCTCAGTAATGTGATAGATGAAGAATAATGACCACGCTAAGTAATAAAATGTCTTCTTCTATATGAAAACATAATTAATTGTATGAATGTTGATAATTTGAGAGAGCAAAAGCATGTAAGCATGAACAGATTTAGAGGAAAAAGATTAAAAGTAGCAGAAAAGAGAAGAAAGATAAAAAGAGAAAGAGCAGTCGAAGAGGCGAGAATAGAAAGGGGTTCCTCTTACGAGGGGCGCCTTACCAACAGTACCGATATATCTCCCAGTATAATTGAGGACTGAGAAATAAAAAATTACAATAAGTTTATATTTAAGAAATTATAAACTATAGTTTTATATGTACTATTATTGGCAAACTGGATTTTTTTTCAATTCAACTGTACTTAATATTAAAAATTACAAAACAATTTATTACAAATAGAATTAGAATAATCTATTATTTAAGAGCAGAACTGTCGCAAAAATCAAGAATAAAAACTGCGA